GTAGAGAGGAACTGAAGCCCAGTTTGGCACCAATGCACCAAGCTTTCAGCTGTGTGCAGTCTGGCCAGTCTAGTAGCAACTTACCCTGCTCCAGGACTTTAGTAGGACTCTTTGAATGGAAATTGACTCTCAGGTCAAACATAATGCTGATTTCTTGCCCATTCATTATTGGCAGGGACGGAAAATCAATTCTGTGTGCATCAGCACAGTTTAGGGAGAATGCTGCCTAGGACAATGTTTCTGCTATAGCAGAACAGATAAATACCAACACTTAAACAAATGACAGCAATGGTATGTGATAAATACAAGAGTGAAAATAATGACTAATCTTTGTACAGCACTTTTTGATTCATAAGGAACATTCTTATCTATTACCTAATTTGCTCCTCATATCACTCCTTTGAGATGGGTATTGTCATTGCCATTTCACAGATGAAGAAACCGAGTGTTAAAGGAGTTATTTCATATGAAAGAAATGGACATATATTGTTTTATCCTCTCCCAGCTTCCATTCCCCCTTCTTTTGGTACTGAACCCTGTGTTTCCTTTGGAGATCAAATACCCACTGCTTACCATTGATTAGATCAGTATGAGCACATGACATGAGTCTTTGAGAGTCAAGCTTAGAACTTTTGTTTGGCTTTTATTCAAACTGTTGAGAGGGAGGAACTCTCTTAAACCCATGGGTGTGAATCTGAAGTTAAGGGCTACTACCATAAGAAAAAAATATTATGTATAAGTTTTAAACCAGCAGAAGAAAATTCAGCTTATCCAATGGAAAGCAGAAATGGAAATTGAAAATTTTTAATATATAGTAAATTGTCTGGGCATGGTGGCTCACGCCTGTAATCCTAGCACTCTGGGAGGCCGAGTTGGGTAGATCGCTCAAAGTCAGGAGTTCAAAACCAGCGTGAGCAAGAGCGAGACCCAGTCTCTACTAAAAATAAAAAGAAATTAATTGGCCAACTAAAAATATATTGAAAAAATGAACTGGGCATGGTGGCGCATGCCTGTAGTCCCAGCTACTCAGAAGGGTGAGGCAGAAGGATTGCTTGAGCCCAGGGGTTTGAGGTTGCTGTGAGCTAGGCTGATGCCACAGCACTCTAGCCTGGGCAACACAGTAAGACTCTGTCTCAGAATAAAGCAAATAAATAAATAAATAAATATTTTTAATATATAGTAAATAAATGATAGGAGTAAATATTAATATATAGTAATTACATCAAATGTAAATAAATTAATCTCACCAACTGGATTTTTAAAAATTAAATCCCCAGCTTGGTACAGTGGCTTACACTGTAATCCTAGCACTTTGGGAGGCCAAGGTGGGAGGATTGCTTGGGGCCAGGAGTTTGAGACCAGCTTGAGCAACATGGTAAGACCTTGTCTCAAAAATAAATAAAAATAAAAAATTTCAAAGAAAAAAATTACATCCAACAATAAATTGACTATAAGAGACATACTTAAAGAGACAAAAAGACTAAAAATAAAAAGAGGAAAAAGATACACCAGACAAAGGTGAACTGAGTTGCAATCTTTTTTTTTTTTTGAGGCAGAGTCTCACTCTGTTGCCTGGGCTAGAGTGCCATGGCGTCAGCCTAGCTAACAGCAACCTCAAACTCCTGGGCTCAAGCGATCCTTCTGCCTCACCCTCCTGAGTAGCTGGGACTACAGACATGCGCCACCATGTCTGGCTCATTTTTTCTATATATTTTTAGCTGGCTAATTAATTTCTTTCTATTTATAGTAGAGACGGGGTCTCGCTCTTGCTCAGGCTGGTTTCAAACTCCTGACCTTGAGCAATCCTCCCCCCTCTGCCTCCCAGAGTGCTAGGATTACAGGCGTGGTGAGCCACTGCACCCAGTCTGCGTTGCAATCTTAATGCCTGTCAAAGAGCAATTTCAGTTTTAAAAGATATATGAAAAGTCATTATATATTCATAAAAGAAACAAAAGACATAGATAGCAAGTACACCTTATCGGGAAAAAGAAAAAGTAAAAGAATCTTTTATTATTTTTAAAATTAAAGGTTTTTTTTCTTATTTTGTAAAAAAAATTTTTTAATTAATAAAAATAAAAAAATATTTAAAAAATAAAAAAAAAGAAAGAAAGGATAAACACACAGATCTCTCTAGTCATACAGTCTTAAAGTATATACAACTGCAGGAAAAATAGAGAGATGTATAATTGTAACTAAAGATTTTAATATCCCCCTCTCAAAAACTGATATATTTAGGCTTGAATAGTATAACTACTGCATTTCAACAATTTTACATCTTATACAAGAGTAGACTCTAGAAGGATTAAAAACATAATAAATGTGAAAAGGAAAATTATAAAGAAAAATATAGGGGCTAGGAGCAGTGGCTTTCACCTGTAATCCTAGAACTTTGGGAGACCAAGGCAGGAGGATTACTACAGGTCAGGAGTTCAAGACCAGCCTGAGCAAGAGTGAGACCCATATCTACAAAAAATAGAAAAATTAGGAGTCATGGTGGCACACACCTGTAGTCCCAGCTACACAGGAGGCTGAGGCAAGAGGATTGATTGAGCCCAGGAGTTTGAGATTGCAGTGAGCTATGATGACACCAAGTTTGAGGTTGCAGTTAGCTATGATAACACCACTGCATTCTAGCCTGGGTGACGGAGAGAGACTTTCTCTCAAAAAACAAAACAAAACAAAAACAAACGATGAACACAAAACTGGAAGGAAATGCAATAAATATTGTGCAGTTGTCTCTGGATTTGGGGATAACAAGAAATTTTGACTTTCTAATACATATCTTAATTTCAAATGTTTTACACTGAACACCTATTACTTATGAAAATTAAATATATAATCAGAATTTTTTAATAAGATCATCTGGAGGAATATAGTTCAGTGGCAGAATGATGATGTTCAAAAGATGTGTCCTTGAGAAAAACACAAAAATTTCAAAGTCTGTGTGCAAAATGAATGAAACTATGCATGAATTTTTTATTGTTAAAATTATCCCAGTTTCAGAAATAACATGTGCACAAGCAATCAAAATAAAAGGCAAAAGAAAATTTAACAAAGGTGAGAGCAGCAGCTTTTAAAAATATTCAAATGGATCCTTATTGTTTAATCTTTCCCCCAAATCCTGCATGAAAATCAGTATCTCTATTTAGTGATACTGAAAATTTATAACAATTGGTAGAGCATACACCTGTCCAATCAGAGCAGACATTTATAGTAAAGAATGCTAGTATCAGACTGGCATCCCTAAACTACAGATTATCCCATACATCAGCTCTCCAAACCCAAAACAAAATGTTTAGACTCAGCATCTAAAGCCTTGCTCTTTTTCACAATGGGAAGATTCTTACGTTATAGAAATAGGTATAAAGTCAAGTTTTCCAAAACAGAATATTCCAAAGATTATAAGGTCCAGAAACTACATCAGGTACCAGTCTATCTGAAAGAAGGAAGAAGTTCTTGCTGCTCTTTGCTGATCTCACCACCCCACTTCCTGTCATCTGGGTGCTCTGCTCTTTGACTCTGAAATCTGGTCCATACATCCCCTTTTCCACTGGGCAGACTTTTATGCATTCTTTAAGATCTAGCTCAAAAGTCACTTCCTTCATGAAGTCTTTCCTGAAACCACCAGGCAGAATTTTATTCATGTTTTCAACTAATTTTTACTGAGCACCTACTATACACCACATTCATATTTGTAGCCCTGGCCTGTCATTTACTGAATGATATGACTGCCATGTCTGTGGGTTTGAATCCTTGGCTATTGGATGCAGTTTTTTTTATTTTTATTTTATTTTTTTATTTTTTTGAGACAGAGTCTCGCTTTGTTGTCCAGGCTAGAGTGAGTGCCATGGCGTCAGCCTAGCTCACAGCAACCTCAAACTCCTGGGCTCGAGCGACCCTTCTGCCTCAGCCTCCCGAGTAGCTGGGACTACAGGCATGCGCCACCATGCCCGGCTAATTTTTTATATATATATCAGTTGGCCAATTAATTTCTTTCTATTTATAGTAGAGACAGGGTCTCGCTCTTGCTCAGGCTGGTTTTGAACTCCTGACCTTGAGCAATCCGCCCGCCTCAGCCTCCCAGAGAGCTAGGATTACAGGCGTGAGCCACCGCGCCTGGCCTTGGATGCAGTTTTAAAAATATATATTTAAAAAGATATTTCTCCCATGTGGAATGTTGCCTACACTATGTACTCAATAGTAATAGATATTTGCTCACCCATTCCACAGCCAGGTACAGTGGAAAGATAAACTTTGAAACCAGATGAACTTAAGTTCAGATACTGGCCCTGCCCTTTACTAGCCGTTTGACCCTGAGCAAGTATTTACCTGCTCTGAGCAGTTTCTGTATCTGTAAAATGAAGATAATAATGGTATCATCTATAATGGCTGCTATTAGGATTAAATGAGCACATTGTAGGAGTTCCACAAATTTCTGTGAAGTGCTTTCTAATCTGTAAAAAACTATAGGAATGGACTTGATAATGATCTTATTAGCAGGTGGTATAGAAAAATAAATATGATACCAGTAAACTTGCAAACAAGTGGCAATTATTTAAAAATTAGGGTACAAAATAGCAGAGAAGCAGGACTTTCGTAAATCTGGCTGTGGGGTGGGGGGTGGCTCACACCTGTAATCCTAGCACTTTGGGAGGCCAAGATGGGAGGGTCACTTGAGGCAAGGAGTTCATGACCAGCCTGACCAACATAGCAAGATCTCATCTCTACAAAAAATAAGAAAAATTAGCTGGATATGGTGGTGTACACTTGTAGTCCCACAGGAGGCTGAGGCAGGAGGATCACTTGAGCCCAGGAGTTCAAGGCTGCAGTGAGCTATGATCATGCTACTGCATTCAGAGCAAGGCCCTATTACTTAAAAAAAAAAAAAAAAAAAAATATATATATATATATATAAAGAGAGAGAGGAAGTCTGATTTTATTTTTAACTGCTTGATACATCTGCAGGAGGAAAACATCTGTACACAAGTACAAGTATCAGCACTGCTCAGTAAATACGAAGTAATACATACATTTAAACAAAATAAAATCCCTGGGTGCACTGGGATAAATTGAAAGTGAGGATCAACTTTATACAGAAGTTTATTTACCAATAACTAATTTAATAAACACTATGAAGGTGGCTCTGTGACACATTGGATAGTGCATTAGACTTCTAATAAACACCATGATAATAATAGCAGTTATAGCTACCATTTATTGACTATATATTTATCTCAGGCACTTTATACATATTAGCTCATTTAATTTTTACAACAACCTCATAAAATAGAAATTATCACTCCCTTTCCACTAATAAGGAAATAGAAGCTTCAAGATGTAATGTGGCTTTCCTCAAGTCATACAGAGCAAAGAAGTTGGGATGAAAATACAGAACTTATTCAAAAAGAGCAAGTTATTTTGCTCCCCAAATTGTGCCAGTCTCATGAACTTTATCCCTGTAAGGGTAACTATTTTTTTCCCAGTTACAGTTCATCCTTCTGGTCAATAAGGACTTCTTCATTTTTACCCGGAAACGCTCTGTCAGCATCATCTTCCTGCATCTGCCTGTCATTTCCTGGTTCCTCAGCAGGGTCCTCTTCATTTCCCTCTTCTTCAATTCCCCAGATGTCATCTTTCTCTTCCTCCTCCTTTTCCTTTTTCTTCTTGGCCTCTTCTTCCTGCTTTCTTTTTTCAATTTCTTCATATAGTTCTCTCCATTGCTTCTCCAGGTCCTATTTAGGATGTGAATTTCAAAGTAATTTACAGATGGTATAAACAAAGTCAGCCCACTTTAGAAATATCGGGCCTCTTGCCATGGTCTTAAGGATTTCTGGGATGGTGTTTATTTACATAAACATTTTCAGAATAGAAATGTGTGTGTGTTTGTAATTTGCTCATAAATAAAATTGGTTCTGATTCATCAGACATTGATTGAATGCCCACTGCATTGCTAACCACAGTGCTAGACGATCAGTACACATTATGTGTATTCCTCACAGCCATGTGAAATCAGTGTTACTTGTACCACTTTCTATCTGACAGATCTGAGATTTGGACTTCTTTATACATTTCTTATTGGTCTCCCAAAACTGAATGCAAGCCCTATGAGGACAGAAATGTCTTTATTTTATTTCACTGCCATATCCCCAGCATCTACAATAGTGCTTTAAACAGGTACTCAACAAATATTTGTCAAGTGAAAGTATGGTTTGATAATAATAACTACCATGTATTGAGCACTTACTATATGCCAGGAACTTAAAAGGCAGATGATATAATTATTCCCAATTTATAGATGAAGAAAAGTTCAATAACTTGTCCAAGTTCAGCTAGTAAATAATGGAGCCTGGATTTATTTATTTATTTATTTATTTTTGAGACAGAGTCTTACTTTGTTGCCCAGGCTAGAGTGAGTGCCTTGGCGTCAGCCTAGCTCACAGCAACCTCAATCTCCTGGGCTCAAGCAATCATACTTCTTCAACCTCCCGAATAGCTGGGACTACAGGCATGCGCCACCATGCCCCGCTAATTTTTTCTATATATATATTAGTTGGCCAATTAATTTCTTTCTATTTATAGTAGAGACGGGGTCTCGCTCTTGCTCAGGCTGGTTTCGAACTCCTGACCTTGAGCAATCTGCTCGCCTCAGCTTCCCAGAGTGCTAGGATTATAGATGTGAGCCTGGAGCCTGGATTTAAACCTAAGCAGTCTAGCTCCAAAACTAAAACTCTTAACTAATATGTAATAGTACCTCAACAAAGATTTCAGATGATAGGCCAGGGGCAGTGGCTCACGCCTGTAATCCTAGCACTCTGCGAGGGGAGGCGGGTGGATTGCTCAAGGTCTCGAAAAAAAAAAAAAAAAAAGATTTCAGATGATAAACCCAAAGTAAAACAAGATAAAACCAGACTAAAAAGTACCAAAAAAGTCTAATAATTTTTTCCCATGATGACTACTTCAATTTTTAAAAAAATATTAAATGTCAAGGTTCTCTCAAAAAAATTGTTTTGGTACCTGTTCTTTTGCTGGTACTTTAAGCATAGGCTTAATCTGCCTCTGAGTAATCAAGCACTGGCCACAAACCTGCATGAATGGACCTCCCTGCAGAACCAGGAAGTCTGGATAGACAATGTCATCATCATGAGGCCATTGTCCCAAGTATCACTCCACCCATAAAATAGTTCTGGGAGGTCAGGGGAGCTGGTAAACAGCATTATCACCTTCCTCCTTTCTCTAAGCCAGCCATCACAAATGGGCTCAGTACCTCCTTTCTAGATCAACACACTATGAGCAGGCAGTGTGATAACACAAATGGAGCATGAGTTCTGGGTTCAAATTCTAACTCAACAACTTGAAGGCTGCGTGTGACTTTGGGCACTTTATACTCTGAATCTGGAAATTGGAGGTAAAAATATCTGTCTTACTGGGTTGTTTTAATGGCTCAGTGGGATAACTTTTGGAAAGTGTTTGTAGAGCCAGAAGTACAGATTTGTAGATGTCCAAGGAATGTGAGTTCTTTCCTCTACCTCCCAGGGCCATGCCACCAGAAATTAAACAATGACAATGAGGCTGATTTTTAAAATGCAAAGAACAATATTATAACTGGAGAGTCAGACATCTGGAATCCAGAGTGGGGGAATCTCTTACCTTTCTTGCTCCCCAAGTCTTATTTCCAACGTCTTTAGCAAACTCTTCATCATTTGTAAGAAGGAAATTGTCAAAGATGCTGCCTGACTTTACCTGTTGAAATGAAAACAATGGGATTATTAGGACTAGGTATCTAAATGTTGAAGGGCTTAAAAGTCACTTGGGGATCCTTGCTAAATGCACATCCCCAGGCCACAGGCCCAGAGATTTTAATCAATAATTGAGGTTAGGCAAGGAAATACAAAGGTTATTAATAATACAGAGGGTACAGAATGCTGTACTGCCCTAGATGACGTACTCCAGAAAGAAGTTCATTTGGTGTTTCCCAAGATTCTGTGCATCTCAAGCCTCTGAACTATTTTAGAGGGCTGTGAAGAAACTTCAATCACTCTGGCCAGCCGTGGTGGCTCACACCTGTAATCCTAGCACTCTGGGAGGCCAAGGAGGGAGGATTACTTAAGGTCAGGAGTTCAAGACCAGCTTGAGCAAGAGCGAGACCCATTATCTACCAAAAAAATAGAAAAATTAGTGTACAACTGTAGTCCCAGCTACTCAGGAGGCTGAGGCAGGAAAATTGCTGGAGCCCAGGAGTTTGACGTTGCAATGAGCTATAAAGGACACCACTGCACGCTAGCCCAGGCAACACAGTGAGACCCTGTCTCAAAAAAATAAATAAAATTCCATGCAAAACTTTAAGATATTTTCTTACCTTTGGGATCTTTTTTTTCTTTTGAGCTGTTAGCAGTCTTGCTTAGAGAACTGCCCATTTGTTGGCTTTCCCATTTTTCCTACTTCCATGAGAAATGTTCCTAATCTCTCCATTCTCTTCAGTGGCCCTTTGCCCCATACCCCTTAACATTAAACTCATGGGTTGTAAGGGTGCCAGTTCTGCTTCCTAACTGGTGACTGTGGTCTCCTTATATCCTCTCTGTGCTTACAAGTTTTCATTGCAAAATGGCAAAATGGAAGAAAATGTACTTTCCTTGCTTTCTTCATACAATCATCAGGCGAAGATAACACATGAGAAAGAGCTTTGTTAGACTGTTAAGCCTAAAGGCCTAAAGAATTTTTCAAAATTAATTCACTGAAAGTTACCTGGTCTCCTGTGCTATCCCACTTGGATCATAAAATGGAAAAGGTATAGGTTTGGGCACTTATTAGCTATGGGACCTTGACAAGTTTAACCCTTTGCACTTGGATGTCGAGTATGGATAATGTCAAGTGGATAATGAGAAAAAAGCGAGTGAGTGCAAAGGGTTAAGTCACCTTTCTGAGCCCTCAGTTTTCTCATCAGTAAAATGGAGATGGTAAGACCTACCCCCCTGGCCATCCAGGGCTGTGGCACAGACCATTGCTGTAAGGGATGTCAATGTGCTTTGCATTGTGGCTAGGCTATACTCATTGCAATTTGTGTTACTATTCCTTTGAAGATCATAAAGAGTTCCAAAGAGAAGAATTTTCTTTTTTCTCTGCAATCTCTTTCCAGTCTCTGTCCTAATTAAAAATGCAATCACTTCCACCTATGGCAAAAAGGGTAAAGAGGTTGTGTGTGGAGGTGTCAGAATAGGGAGCGAGAGAAGTCAGGGACTAGGCAAGATAGTAAACTGGCTCACTAGGCTGGGACCCAGGAAGGTTAGGGAGGGCAACTGGGCTCCCAGAGCATCTGAGGGCTGGAAACTAAGGGTTGGGGCAGGGCAGGAAAGGGAGTTCCCACTCATCTCCATGTTGAGAGTCATTTTGCTTTCCCAATATGGTGCAGGGACCCTGTGGTAAACTGAATGAGTTGGCTGAGTTGGGGGCGTGGAGTAGGACCTGTGAGTTCCAGACCCACTCAGAAGTTAAAAGGAAAGGATGCCTGCAAGGGTGATGTGACCATTGTGCAAAATGTATCACACACACACACATAAACAAACCCCACAAGATATGTAATCTCTTTGGCTTCATCCCAGACTGTTGGATCAGAACCTATATTTTAATAAGACAGCCTGGTGATTCACAGAAATGTTAAGTTTAAGAAGCACTCCTCCGGCATGGTTTAAATTCTTCAAATAGAAAGGTGTACCTGTGGCTGGGTGCGGTGGCTCACACCTGTAATCCTAGCACTCTGGGAGGCTGAGGCGAGAGGATTGCTAGAGGTCTGGAGTTTGAGACCAGCCTCAGCAAGAGCAAGACCTCATTTCTACTAAAGAAATAGAAAGAAATTAGCTGGACAACTAAAAATATATAGAAAAAATTTAGCCAGGCACGGTGGTGCATGCCTGTAGTCTCAGCTACTCGGGAGGCTGAGGCAGGAGGATTGCTTGAGCCCAGGAGTTTGAGGTTGCTGTGAGCTAGGCTGATGCCATGGCACTCTAGCCCAGGCAACAAAGTGAGACTCTGTCTCAAAAAAAAGAAAGAATGAAAGAAAGGTGTGCCTGTTTAAAGAGGAACAATTAATGCCAGATAATTTTTAATTTTGTAGATAAACAAAGATAGCTTAAGTTTTTTCCTGTGAGGAAAAAAACATATTAAGGAAACAATTAGATTAGGCATATTTATATGATAACACATGTTTGCAAGATGTAGAAATTTCCTGTTATGTATTAAAAAGGGACAACTGAAAAAAAAGATAACAATGCAAACTTGTGCAAATTGTATCCACGTTCTTCAAATAAGAGAGGAAGGAAAGAAGGGTACAATGTGTCCTGCCTCCCTTCCCTTCCTTCTTCCTTCCTTTTCTCCTGAACCGTTATCCCTCACCCCGCCTCCCCACCACACCCGCCCCCTGGTAATTTATGTACATGACCTCCTTATACTCCTATCTTGGTCTCCTTGAGCAAAAAGACCAAGAACATAGAAATAAATAAAGTAGGAAATATATAAATATAAATAAACCAAGAAAATCTCAAATAGGGGGTGTCTGTCCCAGTCTAAACTGTAGAAATCATTGATCAGAGACAGAGATTTCCATGGCCATGGGAACTCCCAGGACACACTCAAGGACAAGTAGCTGTGGTTTCCAGAGGCTCTGTTGTATAGTGGTAGAGTCATTACAGCAAGGGCTTTAGAGGCTGACAGAAGTGTGTTTGAATCCTGTCTCTACCATGCAATAGCTCTTGGGCACATCACTTGACCTTTCTGAGTCTCAATTCTCCCCAATGTAAGATGGGAAAATAATGAGAGACAACAATACTTTATAGAGTTGTGAGAATTAAGGAGGTAATATAGGTAAAGCATTGCCCCCAGGGCTGTGTTTAACAAAAGTAAATTCCCTTCTGCTCTAGGGGAATTCTTCTTCTAGGATTATGTGGATTAGTTTCTAGTGGCCTCCTGGGAGGGCCCATGGCCCTCCTCTTCACTTTGGGGCCTGCACTTGTGGTACTTTCTTTTCTCTTGATTTGGGGAAGAATCCTCCCCATCTTCAGTAACAAGTCTTGGGAAAGGAAGATATGAGGGTGGTGGGTGGGGGGGCAACTTTCTAAAGGCCTGACTATCTGGGCCCTCCTCTTTTGCTTCCAATCAGAGGAAAGATGACTGGCAGAGAGGAAGGCTAGGTCAGGACCTGTCATCATGGCTGGGGAAATCTCCCCTAACATGTGTCTGGGGATTTTAATATTTCAGAGTTTTACTACATCTCTCATTTCTCCTTATCCCCAGAACCACCCCCAAGAATCATGTAGGACCAGCAGAAGCAGTATAAAGTATTACAACCCTGAAGGTGACATTAAAAAGGCCTGCACTCATATCCTAGCTTTTCTACTTACCTTAACAGATGCATGTTTTCAGGCAAATTATTTGACTTTTCTGAGCCTCCTTTTCACATTTAGAAATAGGAGGCTTCATAGTGAAAATTAAATGGCATATGCAAAGTAATATATTGACTGCTACATGACAGCGACTCAGTAAATTTTAGCTATAATAATTATATTAGGGCCTGGCGAGGTGGCTCACACCTGTAATCCTAGCACTCTGGGAGGCCGAGGCAGGCGGATTGCTCGAGGTCAGGAGTTCGAAACTAGCCTGAGCAAGAGCGAGACCCCGTCTCTACTATAAATAGAAAGAAATTAATTGGCCAACTAATATATATAGAAAAAATTAGCCAGGCATGGTGGCACATGCCTGTAGTCCCAGCTACTTGGCAGGCTGAGGCAGGAGGATTGCTTGAGCCCAGGAGTTCGAGGTTGCTATGAGCTAGGCTGACGCCATGACACTCACTCTAGCCTGGGCAACAAAGCAAGACTCTGTCTCAAAAAAAAAAAAAAAAAGATTATATTAGGATGAATATGATTGACTCCATTTTAGAGATGAGCAGTTTGAGGCTTAGAAAGTTCAAGACTTCTTCAAATCTTGCGATTTCCAGCCTGGGGCTCATTCCACTCTGTGAAAACTAGAGGGACTATTGGTCAGTGGCTCTAAGCCCAGAGAGCTTTACCTGCCAAAGGTCCAGGCCAAGAACACTGATGTTATAATAGTGACAAATGGTGGGGTCAGGCTTATATTTAGGGTTGTCTATTTCTGGATGAATCCACTCTCCCTGGTAATTGGGATTGTCAATGACCCGAGGTTTCCATTGTCCCTAAGCAAAGAACCAAAGAGGGAACATGGTGTTAGTATTTTTTCATTTTCCTGATCTGCTGCAATCAGAAAGGCCAATCAATTTACAAAGGCTGTTAGGTATTAGACATAAAGATTCAGAGCAGGTTTCCTGGAGCTACTTTCCCTTTCTTTGAGTTAATGCACCGGACTCTTCCAAGTTCTCCTTTCTACCCAGAGGGAGCCAAATGAGGTGGCAGGCACCCATTCTGATCCTGGCCACCTCTGCACAAGCTCATTCACAATGCTAAGAAAATGTAGCTTCTCAGAGAATATCATCTAAGTACCTGGCTCTTGGGACTCTTTTCTTCCTAGTGTGTAGCATAGGAAACTAGCCAAATAAAATCATGCTTGTTTCAGTCAGTTTTCTCTCTGGATCACTTGGCAGCTAATTTCCTTTAGTTCTTGCTTCCAACATGAGGTCAGGAGTTAGCCCTTAAGAAGAAATGTCTCCATCCCCTAATACCTTTGGCCCTTTCCCCTTCTGGCCCACTTCTAAGACTTCCAGTTCCTGACCCCAGACCCGTTTCCTGTTTGGACCATGTTCCTGTGACTGTCTGCTCTCCACCGCTCTGGACAAACTCCCTGGCCCAGACTTCCTTGGCCTCTACCTCTCAGCATTGGCCTTTACCAGCCCACCCTTTCCCAAGTAGGCACAGCCCTGAGAGCAGTGCTCAGATGAGGCTACAGTCTTGTTTGGGGGGTTGGAGGGGAGGGAAGATGACCACAGGATCTCAGAGCTTCTGTTTTATAAATTAGAATATATGTCACTTCTATATTATTTCTAACACCCATTGGAAAGAGAGACCCCCACTCACCTTATACTTCGAGTTTGATATCAGAGGCCCTTCCCACTCCCCATCCATAGCCTCATTCCAGTCATCCGGCTTCTTGGCCTCTGGGTCTGGGATGTACTCAAAGTCCTCCCAGTCCTAAAATGAAATGTTCTTTCATGAGGATAGATGTGTGGACTGGAATGAAACTGGACCTGGTTCCCTACCCCTGCTAGACCTGGTTCCCTACCCCTGCTGCCCTCTCACCCTCACCTGTATGAAGGCCCAGCTCAGGATCCTGCAAAGAAAAAGGCTTTAAAGCAACTCCGATCCCTCCTCTGGGTTCACTATCACTCTGACCTTGAGCACATTAAGCTCAAATAAGATGGAATTTCCCTTGTCTATGACCTCACCCTTCCACCAATCATGTGCCCCTATTGTCTTAACAGGTCTTCTGCCCTAGGTCCCCCTTCTTGAAGAGGCCTCTTGGTGACTTGCTTTGCATCCCAGGATGCTCCCAGACATGTATCAGTCCTCTCTTGTACCTAGATCCCTCTTATTTCCCCAGACAGACTCTACACGTAGTCACAAACGACCTACCCCAACTTTCATATTTCTACTGCCATGGAGCCTCCAAGGCTTTGTTCTGTCAACCTGGCAGTTCACCTTGGTTCTGACCATTTGACCAGACTAACAATGGCTTCCATGCCTAGCCCAACAAACTCACAGCCATTCAACACAATTGGGATTGGGAAAGTTCCCTGGTTGCTAGCCTGTCCCAGTTGTTTTACAATTCCTAAGCAGACCATCAGCATCCTATCCCAGGAACTGTAGCCTTGACAGAGCCCTGCCAGTCTTATCAGTTTCCATCTTCCCCTGGTCTACTCAGCAGGGGACATAGAGGCCTGCAGCCTCTCTGACCCTCTTCCCTTCCCCCGCCTTGAGCCAACCCTGCCTATATCAGGTACATGGTCCTCACCAGGAGGGTAGTGGATCCATGGTTAGTCTTGCTGCCCTGACCCTGCCTGCTGGGCCCAGCAGGAACCTAGCACCTTCTTTTTCCACGGTGTTGAAAGGACAGACACTTTTCCTGATCATCTGCCTATTCCCTAACTATATCTCCCTTCCCCTGGGATTGGAGTCCTTTGCTGAATCTCCCTAGACATGCTTGGGCTGCTGCGGCCTCTTGCAGACCTTTCTTTAGGGACTGGACTCCAGCTGCTGGGTCCCATGCTGCCCCCTGCCTGACCTCAAGCATCTCCGCTGCAAGAGGCTGATGCCGCTCTGACCAGTGCAGCAGCAACGTGGCAGGTAAGACTCTCCCTGGCTGGATCCAACAGACTTTTCCAACCTCATCTCCTACTGTGCCCTACCTTGAACCTTATGTTCCCAAAATACTGAACTGCTGCTTTCACTTTCTTTACACAACCATGTTATTTTCCACATAACCGTTGTGCCTTTGCTCCTGCTGTTTCCTGGGCCTGCAATGTCTTTCCTCCAACCCAATTTCCCACTTTCGTTACTCTAATGAATCTATTATTTGAAATTCAGTATATTATTAACATATAAAGGTTATATATTAAGGACTTACTATATACCAGGCACCATGTTCTGTATTTTTTTAAGAGACAGAGTTTCATTCTGTCACCCAGGCTGGAGTGCAGTGGTGCAATCATAGTTCACTGTAACCTCCAATTCCTGGGTTCAAGTGATCCTCCTGCCTCAGCCTCTTAAGTAGCTGAGACTATAGGCATACAACACCACACCCAGCTAATTTTTTAGCTGGATGCCTCCTTGAGGGATTGATGGCCCCAGTCTCTGCACATCAACCCAGCCTCCCTCTCCTACCTCCACAGCTGAGAGCCCGCCTGCTTCCCAGCCAAACACCTCTGACCTCGGGTTTCTTATCTTCAGGATCCTCTATTTGCAGACGTTCATCCCATTTCCTTGGTTTCCGGGCGTAGGGGTCTTTTATTTTCCTGGGAGGCAAGAAGTCCCAGTCTTCCTCCAGACCCCCAGCTGCCACTTTCTGGTTGTCAATTTTGACCTCATAAGTAGCATTGGGGCGAATGATCAGAGTGTATAGGTGAGTGTCTTTATTGATCTATAAAGGGAATGTGGGTATATTTTAGTTCCATATTGAACATCTTTAGATCTCAAGCAATTAAATGTACCAGACCCTCAGTTCTCTGAATACCACCCCCACACACATATTCACAAACATAGTTTAGCACACTCCTCATCCTGTTTCTCTCGTTAACCCTATAGGGATTCTGGTTCTCATTCTTCTAGTACACACTCCTCTGGTCTCCCTTAGCCTTCACCCCTCTTTCCACTACAGCTCTGATCATTCTCTAATCTTGTCTGTTTTTCTGTCTGTCCTACTGGACTGTGAGCTTCTCAATGGGAGGAGTCATCTATACTTTATCTGTTGTGCTTCCAGCTCCCAGCATGAGGCCTGCCCCAGAGGAGGACCTCAGGGAGCCTCTGTGTGTGCACCCTCTGTGTAGTCCTGCTAAGGAAGGCCTTGGGCCTGAACACAAGTTCTCCAATGACGCAGGCTCTATGGGCTTTTCTAGATTCACTTCCTGCTTTTCCCTTGTGTTCCAGCAGTGCCAAACCTCTTTCTCAAGTCACCTTGACTTTTCTCCTGCAATTACCTCTTCTAAGAATTCAAAATTTTCACACTCCTTCACAAGACAAAGTCATGCTCATCTTTCAAAACTCAGCACAGCGGAAACCTTCTCTAGGAAACATTTCCTAAGCCGCCAGGTTGGGTAGAGGTTCTCCCCTCGACCCTCATCATCCTAGGTATCACTTGCCTTTGTTTGACTCTTGCCTTCCCTTACCATGAGGTGAGAGGCCATGTCTAGGGCCATGACAGGGGCCATGTCAGAACCCACGCTCTCCCCATCCCAAGGCCCAGCACAGAGTTAGCATTTGGTGAATGAATGCCTATTGAATTGCTGACAAAATCCACCTACTATCCTCTAGCAAACCTAGGTCTCTCTAACTTGATGTTAGTGAGAAAAACCAACCCCCCCCCCATTTCGAAGCCCAGCACTCCCTACCCACCCCCGCTCCACTCTGTCATCTATCAGTGGGAACTGGGCCATGCCAAACACTGTTCCAGGAGAGGACATTAAATGACTTCCTGGGCTTTTGGATCAGCTGCTCCTTTGTGAACTCTTGCAATTTACAGCACTTCTCTAGGTCTACTTTCTAATCTGTAAAATGGAGATGATAGTATTTACTGGGTTTTTGTGAGGATTAAATGAGATAACATATATAAAATGCTTATCCTCAGCCTTAGGCTACAGAATAGCCCACACATTTACCTTGCACTTGATGGTCTTTTTGTTCTCATGGTATTTCCCCTGGTAATGAAGGATGACCTGTACTTTGTTGTTCCCAAAGCCACAGATGTCGGGTCCTGGAAATCAAACCCCAAAGCATGATTTCACATCACTTTAAGACAATTTGCCTGGTCTGAAACCAAGACCCAAGACAGACTCAACCTATGTATTAATCAGGGTCTCAGCAGGAAAAGGATGGCACACTTAAATTTAGGATTATTTGAGAAGGATTTAATAAAGGGACTGTTTGCAAAGGTGGGGGCAGGACATTGAGAAAACATGAGGTATGGTGCTATGCGTAGGGCTAGCAGCAGTGGGCTCTCACCCCTAAGCCTGAAGGGGCAAGAGGGAGTGGTTACCAGAGCCTGGAAGAAAAAGAGTCCTGCGGAGAGGACAGCCAGGAGAGAAGCTGACTTTCCGTTGTGGGCACAACTCTCTTCTCTCCCTCCAATCTCCTGCCTGGGCTGCCATTGACCACACCCAACCAGAAGCCCCTCTTTTGCCAGGGATTTTATACCATGTCATTTAATTCTCACAACAAGTAGATGTTACTGTCCCAACTCTTAGCTGGGAAAACTGTAGCTCAGAAATGTTAACAGCTTGCCTGCCCAAGGGCAAACAGCTAATAAGCCCCATTGCTGGGATTCAAACCCAAGCCTATCTAGAAATAGAACCTAAGGCCCTTTATGCTTCGTGAAAACTCTAGAGGGAACTCTAGAGTTGATCAGTGTCTCTGGGCCAGAAAGCTTTACCTGCCAAAGGTCCAGGAAAAGATTTTAACCTAATTTTCAACCTTACCTCCCATGTTATTGTCGTCTGACTACCCAAAACACACACACACACACACACACACAAACGTGTGCATGTGCAATATGCCCTAGCCACACTAGTCTCACCTCTAACCATGTCAAATTTTGTAACTCTGAACTTTTGCAGTTTCCTTTGCCCTCATTACACTTCCTTCCTCTCCTTCTCTACCTATTCAAATCTAGCTCATTCTTTTTTTTTTTTTTTTTTTTTGAGACACAGTCTTGCTCTGTCACCTGGGCTAGAGTGCCGTGGCATCAGCCTAGCTCACAGCAACCTCAAACTCCTGGACTCTGAGGAGCTGGGACTACAGGCGTGCACCACCATGCTCGGCTAATTTTTTCTATTTTTAGTAGAGATGGAGTCTCGCTCTTGCTCAGGTTGTTCTTGAACTCCTGAGTTCAAGCAATCCTCCTGCCTTGGCCTCCCAGAGTGCTAGGATTACAGGCATGAGCCACTGTGCCCAGCCAAATCTAGCTCATTCTTCAAACAACACCTCCTCCAAAAAGCTTCCAGTTGGACTGCATCATGCCATCTTCTGTGATCTCATGGCACCTCACCAATATCATTTTAAAAGCATGTCTTTCACGTTGTGATCGTATAGTGGTTTACAAAAAAGAAAAGTATGTCTTTCATTCTGACTTTTAAAAAATTATTCATATGCCTGAAGGTAGAAGGGTGGAGTAGAAAAAGCACACGCTTTAGAGCCAGACTGGGTTCAAATTCTGGCTTTCCACTTACTTACCTTGGGCAAATTTCTTGCCTCCATTTCATCATCTATAAAATAGAGATGTTAATAGCCCAATCTTGTTGGGTTGTTTGAGCATCAAATAAATACTATTTATATGAAAGAAAAAAATCATTTTAAAAATTATTTCCAGCCGGGTGCGGTGGCTCACACCTGTAATCCTAGCACTCTGGGAGGCCGAGGCGGGCAGACTGCTCGAGGTCAGGAGTTCGAAACTAGCCTGAGCAAGAGCGAGACGCCGTCTCTACTATAAATTGAAAGAAATTAATTGGCCAACTAATATATATATAGAAAAAATTAGCTGGGTATACTGGCACATGCCTGTAGTCCCAGCTACTTGGGAAGCTGAGGCAGCAGGATTGCTTGAGCCCAGGAGTTTGAGGTTGCTGTGAGCTAGGCTGACGCCACGGCACTCACTCTAGCCTGAGCAACAAAGCGAGACTCTGTCTCAAAAAAATAAAAATAAAAATTATTTCCAATTTCCCTACAATCACCACCACATTATGTATATACACATAAACTCTCTGAGAGAAGAGTAGATTCTGAAGAAAAAATGATAGGCAAAGACACACATTTTAGACACTCAGAGTACTATAAATATATTGTTCTACATAAAAAAGAGACTGAAAGATAAAAAAAAGAAGGGTGGGGAGGATGCAGACAGAAAAAAGGCAAAGAGGCTAAAGGGGAAGATTTTGGCAAGGGCTTGAAGAGAGAGATATGATGCTCCCTGGGAAAAGAAAGAATTTTAAGGGAGTTTTGCTGTATGATGTGTAGTGTAATCTTCCCTCTGAATTTGTACAAAAACAATCAGTAAAATCTACATTCTTCATCCGTGCTTTGGTAGCAGATTGTTTGTTGTTGTTATTGGTTTTATATCAACAATGTTGAAAATGAATTCAAAGTTGGGGCTAAATAAGATGTGGACCACCTAGTTAGATATTTAGGTTATAGATGCAACAGCCTGGACATATTACAGATGTTTAATATAAAAGTCATTTCCCTGACCTCCTGTGCCTTTCTCTCACTGAGGCCAAGTACTGTGCCTTATTGTAGCAGGTACCTTTGAGAGTGGTGACATAGTTTCTGACCTCCTTCTCCTTTTCTGAGAACTGGGCAATGTCTCCCAGTACTGTAGATTTGTTAATACTGTTCCATGTGCCTCCCCACCTCTTTGATCTATTTATATTAACATTTAAGTTTCTTCAGGTCTTTGAAGAGTCCTACTGCATGGGGAGAGGGGGCAGCTATCACACTAGAAATTTTCTGTTCCGAGTCCATCTGAACATTTTCTTTCTTTCTTTCTTTCTTTCTTTCTTTCTTTCTTTCTTTCTTTCTTTCTTTCTTTCTTTCTTTCTTTCTTTCTTTCTTTCTTTCTTTTCACCCTTCATGTATTTCCAGGAGATCTGAACATTTTCGACAGCCATAGTGGCTCTCATCAGGACCTTGTGGGGCTGACAGCGACTACTATGAGCGAGCTTACCAAACATGATGTAATACTCGGATTCCGAATGCATATCCTCCTGGTTCAGGGTGGCAGGAAAGAGTTTCACATACCCGCCACCACAATCAATGCCTTGCTCGTGTTTTACTGAAAACTGAACCACCAAGGTCTCATTCTCATTGCTGAACGGCGGAAACCTGGTTGAGAGGGCATAAAACTTGGCATCTTCGCTGGTCTGGAGACCTGGGAGCAGAAAGCAGAGAGTCTGCGGGGTTAAATACCCAAAAAGCGGTCAGAGAAACGGAGCACTTAACCTAACCAACCTCTGGTATTTTCTTTTCTTTTTTTTTTGAGACAAAGTCTCGCTTTGTTGCCCAGGCTAGAGTGAGTGCTGTGGTGTCAGCCTAGCTCACAGCAACCTCAAACTCCTGGCTCAAGCCATCCTGCTGCCTCAGCCTCCCGAGTAGCTGGGACTACAAGCATGCACCACCATGCCTGGCTAATTTTTTCTATATATATTAGTTGGCCAATTAATTTCTTTCTATTTATAGTAGAGATGGGGTCTCGCTCTTGCTCAGGCTGGTTTCAAGCTCCTGACCTCGAGCAATCCGCCCGCCTCGGCCTCCCAGAGTGCTAGGATTACAGGCGAAAGCCACTGCGCTGGGCTGCTACCTCTGATTTTTAAGAGATACTTGAGGCGGGGGGGCAGTGGCTCAAGCCTGTAATCCTAGCACTCTGGGAGGCTGAAGCAGGAGGATCGCTCAAGGTCAGGAGCTTGAAATCAACCTGAGTAAGAGCCAGACCCTGTTTCTACTTAAAAAAAAAGAGAGAGAGATACTTGAATACTATTCTGCAGCTTTACAAGACAAGGCCCTGTTTTCTGAAGCCTGCTTGGTGACTGGAATGAGGCTCTGCCATGCACAGTACTGCCTCTTAGATCAAATAATAACTGCTGCTAATGTTTACTGAACACTTACTCTTTACCGATGTATTAATATTTCATTCACATGTATTACCATACTTAATCCTTTTAATAACCCCATGAGGCTCCGAGAATGTCTCATTCTGTCATGAAGTCATTGAGGTTATGTCGCTTGTCCAGGATCACCCAACCAGTCCATCTAATTCCAGAGCCCTCATCCTCAACCATAAGACTTTACTTTCTCATCCAGAGAGTATCAGAGCTGTAAGCGATCGCAGAGCCTTTCAGTTCTAATCACATTACTTTACAGGTGAAGAAACCAAGCTCCAGAGAGGGAAAGTTATTACTCCAAGACCATATAATTACAAAGGGCAGCCATGCAAGCCAAATCTCCTGGCTTCTAGACCCATGATCTCTATAATATTCCATGCTGCTGCCCAGCTTACTGGTATGGCTCTGACTGCACTTTAACTCTCTGAGTGCCAGGTCCTCATCAGCAAAATGTGGATAATTATTCCTATTTCATAGGGTTCTTGGTGAAGCTCAAATGAGTAAGAGATGTAAGAAGTACTTTGTAAATTGTCAACATAAAATGCAAGGGGCTGTAATTATTTGTGTCTGGTGAGAGTCCTTCCTTCATGATCCCACAGCTCTCTGTACTTCCCTGGGTCTCACTCTGCTGAAACTAGGTTTATTTCAATCTCTCTGAATAATTTTTAGCTCCTGAAGAACAGGGACTTCTTTATATTCCCAGCATCTGGAACAGGACCTGGCATAGATTACACAAAAGGATGACAGGTCCTGATGCAGACCATGTCTCCTGAGCATATATTGCACACCAGGCTCCATGGTAAACACTTTCATGTCTTCTGACATTGTGTTAGGAGCTATCTACATTTTAAAGAGCATATTTACTTCCCCTAAAGACCTCAAGGCAGGCTAGAGTTGCCAGGGAAGACTTCACAGAGGAGGGAGTAGTTATAAGAGAAAGAGCACTGAAGTCATAGGCAAAAGACCAAGCTTTGAGTCTCTGCTCCACTATGAGTCCCTGCTATGTAGCCCAATTCAATCTCCCCACTCTCTCTGAGTCTCATTTGTACCCCAGGCCCCTACTAGACAACCATGGGGAATCCAATGAACATGAGTGGGATGAGGTGTGAGGAGCAACAACCAAGAAATCAAACTTTTTGTTGTTGTTGTTGTTGTTTTTGAGACAGGGTCTCATTCTGTTACCCAAGGTGGAGTGCAGTGGCTTCATCATAGCTCACTGCAGCCTCTAACTCCTGGACTCAAGTGATCCTCCTGCCTCAGCCTCCTGAGTAGCTGGGACTACAGGAGTGCAGCACAACGCCCAGCTAAGGAAATCAAACTGAGAGGGGATGGGTGGCTGGGCAGATTGTCTTCACTGCGGAGTCACCACGGCACAGGCATCCTGTGGGTCACTTAGTCTCCACTTCTCTCTCCTCTGGAGACAAGTTTTCCAGAGTAGATTTAAATGAGATTGAAGATGCTCAAGCCAAGAGCTGGAACCCATTCTATTAAGTGAAGTATCCCGAGAATGGAAAAATAAGCACCACATGTACTCACCAGCAAATTGGTATTAACAGATCAACACCTAAGTGGACATATAGGAATAACATCTATCAGGTGTCCAGCAGGTGTAGGGGGAGGGGATGGGTATATACATACATAATGAGTGTGATGCGCACCAACTGAGGGATGGACACACTTGAAACTCTGACTTGAGGTGGGGGGGGCAAGGGCAATGTACATAACCTTAACATTTGTACCCCCATAATATGCTGAAAAAATAAAGAAAGAAAATGCTCAAGCCAGTTCATAACTCTCTCCTTTAATAAACATGAAAATTAGATTCATAACAGTAGCCAGGAGAGAGAAGATGGGAAATAACTTCAGAGGACAATCAATGGAGTCTATTTATAGAACAAAAGCTTTCTCAGACAAAAAAAACCCCGATGCCTGCAAAACCTGTCCTCAGAGCTTACCCTTCCTCCACAATATTATTATATTTGGCTCTTACAACAGCCCAGTCCAATAAGCATGGCCGGTGATGATTATTATCTCCATTTAGTATCAGGGAAGTAAAAAGACTTGCCCAAATGATGCAACTAGTAAGTCATGAGAGTAAGTTAGCCCTAGGTCTATCTGCTCCACTCTCCATCCCACTAAGCTGCTCTAGGAAGAGCAGTATTTGGACATTATACAGTGCTTTCCTCTGCTTCAAGTGCAGAGTGCTCTTTGATAAATCCTAGGGGATTGGAGAAAGCAGCAGAGTCTAGAAGTAATGAACACAGTCCCTGGAGTCAGACTCAGAATCAGATCTCAGCTCTATTTCCTGCCAGCTGCGTGTATATAGCCTTGGGCAAATAATTCTACCTCTCTGAGCCTCCTCCGCAAAACTGAGAAAATAATAGCAATCACTTACTAAGTAGTTAGGAAGACCAATGGGGATAATGTGTGAAAGGGCTTGGTTTTAAAGGGGTGTTATTCAATGAATGGACATATTATTTTTGTGGCAAGTTTGTTCTTTTCCATTTACAAATTTTTTGTTTTAAGAAAGAGAAATGAATTGGTGACCGTGGACAAAAACAATTGTATAAAAGTCAGAATGTTTCCAATTGGCATATTTCTGAGTTCCCATATTTACCTTGATCTTTTTCTTTGTCTCCATAAAATTTTCCTGCAGTGAGCTGAAATTTACCATAATCCATCTGATGCTTGGATTCCACCCATCGTTTTTTCCATCCTTCTATGGAGTAAAGGGGGAAGAGCAATATATTTGTGTTTTCTTAAAGACAATAAAATGCAGCTAAAAATGACCAAGCCCCTCACTGTCAGATTGTGTAAATCCCATTATTTGTGCACTACCATATGCAGTGGCTCAAATTCCAAGGACTTGAGCCACGTATCCATTAATGCCCTACCCCACCCTCCTCCATGACAATCAAAAGCTGAAAACCACCATGGGAATGTATGGTTGAAAGACATGAAACATTTATTCTCATAAAAGTAGGTGGAAAAATGTGTTTAGGAGGACTAAGCCTTTACACATATTTATGTTTAGTAAAATAAAAATAATAAAATCAGCTCACCAAGTAAAGAGATTAGCAATACTTTATACCTTCTTGAATTAGTAATGATGATAATGAACAATTAATGTCCATTTACCCTGTTTTGTTGCTTAAACTTTTTAGACTCTCCCTTGTAGTTTCAAGGAGATGCTGATAAATGTGTTTTGCTTTGGCATAGATGGCACGCAGACAAAGAGGCATTCTTTTTGGGTCCTGGCACTCCATCCAAACATTCAATGCCTTTCTGCTTTTATGCTTCAGAATTGCTGACTCCTGCTTTCTGTGCCCACCATGGTCCCAGAGTCATAGGGCAATTTGGCAGCTTGAGATGGACAAGGCCTTGAGGGTAGCCTTTGTTTCATCTCCTCCCTGCAGCTGAATGGTTATTTCTCAAATCCCATTCCCCAATATCTACGGTTATTACCCCTTAGCTCTGGGCATGAAAATCCCACATCCACACACATCCAGTAAGACCACCTTAAGCTGGCTCTGTCAGCTCCTATTACTCAAGGCTGATGACTCAACTACCTCCCCTCATGAGACCCAGGGGACTTGAGCTTGCTTTTGAAGGAGTTAAGAATATGCTACTCCAAAATATACTGCTCTGGCATATCGACTATTTTGAATTAAAGGCACTTAAAAAGCAGCACAAGTAGATCACTCTGACCTTCATTCTGTCTCTTAAAAGCAGGAGATGAAATTCCCATGTGAAAGATGTCTTCCCTATACCAAAAGGAAAATAATATTTTTATTACCAAGGACAGGAAGTTGAAGCCAAGGGAATACTTTCTTGAGGGTTTGACTGGATGAAAGAATAAGACTTTTTCCTTTTTTTTTTTTTTTTTTTTTTGAGACAGAGTCTCACTTTGTTGCCCAGGCTAGAGTGAGTGCTGTGGTATCAGCCTAGCTCACAGCAACCTCAAACTCCTGGGCTCATGCAATTCTTCTGCCTCAGCCTCCTGAGTATCTGGGACTACAAGCATGCACGACCATGCCCGGCTAATTTTTTTCAATATATTTTTAGTTGTCCAGCTAATTTCTTTCTATTTTTTTTTTAGTAGAGACAAGGTCTCACTGGGGTCAGGCTGGTCTCGAACTCCTGAGCTCAAATGATCCGCCTGCCTCGGCCTCCAAGAGTGCTAGGATTACAGGTGTGAGCCTCCGCTCCCAGCCTTCTTTTCTTTTCTACTGATATTTTTTCCAATGGAAAGTCCTGGAGAAAAAAATTTTAGGTGAAATAATATGTTCTCTCTCTTTCTCTCTCTTTTTTTCCAGTTAAGGTAGTTATAAACACTTTTCATTTTTTAAAATAAAATATATTTTAAATATATATATTTTTATTTTAAAAAATGAGTGCAGTGTTGTTTACAACTAATTGATCACAGTTATAGATTCCTTTGTTCCTTCTTCCTTCCCACTGCTTCACTTGACTAGCCTTACCAAAATAAAGAAAATATACTTTTATTTTAGACTAGCTTTAGACTTACAGAAAAGTTCCAAAAATATTACAGAGAATACTTGTTTATCCTGCCCCAGTTTCTCCTATTGCTAAAATTACTGTGGTACATCTGCTACACTAATGAATCAGTATTGATACATTATCATTAATTAAAGTCCATACTTTATTTGGGGTACCTTAATTTTTATCTAATGACCTTTTTCTGTTCCAAGATCCAAGATTCTACCCAGGATGCCATTACATTTAGTCACTGTGTCTCCTTTGGCTCCTCTTGGTTGTGCCAGATTCTCAGACTTTGCTTGTTTTCGATGACCTTGACATGTTTGAGAAGTACTGGTCACGTATTTTGTAGAATGTCTTTCAACTGGGGTTTGTCTGATGTTTTTCTCATGGTTAGATAAAAGTTACAGGTTTGGGGAAGGAAAACCACAGAGGTAAAGTGCCATTCTCAACACATCATTATCAATGGTACATACTGTTAACACGACTTATAGTGTTAACATTGATTACCTGGCTGAGACAGTGTTGCCAGGTTTCTCCATTGTAAAGTTACTCTTTTCCCCATTCTTTCCATACTGTACTCTTTACAAGGAAGTCAGTATGTACAGCCCACAGTGAAACGGGGAGTGACACTCCACCTCCTTGAGGGCAGAGTATCTACATAAATTATTTGGAATTCTTCTCTACAGGAGATTTATCTATCTGTCCCCATTCATTTATTCAATCATTTCTTTATATCAGTATGGACTAATGGACTTTTGTTGTATACTTAGGTTTATAATCCAATATTATATTACTTATTTTGTTGCTCAAATGTCTTTAGCCATTGGAAGCTCTGTCAGTTGGTTCCTATGTCCCTTTGACATACTCCCATTATTTTGCTTTTTGAACGCTTCCTTACTTTCTGAAACTATAAGATGCTCAAGGCTCATCTTGTATATTTCCTTCCCCAGCCCTAGAATCAGCCATTCCTCTAAGCAGGCCTAGTTCCTTTTATTGGAGAATGGTATTATAAACCATGAGAGGGGCTCCGGGTGTCATTTATTTTTTAAAGTAAATGTTTTGATTGGAGTCTAATATTCATTCCCATAAGGTGACAAACCATAAATGTATAGCTTAATGAAATTTTAAGAGAGAGAATTTAAGGCAAATTATCCAAGTACGTTGAATTAAAATGATTAACTGATGTAGTAATTCAGAAGTCTCACTGGATCCAATTCATACAGCCCTCTCATATCTTTAAAACAAAATAACCAAACCAGAATGGCCACATATGACAAGGGGAGAAGAGGGAGCAGCTTCAGCAATGTTCTCAGGGCCAGGCGCGGTGGCTCACACCTGGAATCCTAGCACTCTGGGAGGCCAAGGCAGGCGGATCATTTGAGCTCAGGAGTTCAAGCCTAGCCTGAGCAAGAGGGGAGACTCCATCTCTACTAAAAAAATAGAAACAAATTAGCTGGACAACTAAAAATATATATAGAAAAAATTAGCCAGGCATAGTGGTAAATGGCTGTAGTCCCAACTACTTGGGAGGTTGAGGCAGCAGGATTGCTTGAGCCCAGGAGTTTGAGGTTGCTGTGAGCTAGGCAGACACCACAGCACTCTAGCCTGGACAACAGAGTGAGACTCTGTCTCAAAAACAAGCAAACAACCAAAATTCAATGTTTTTAGTAGATTTCCTCCCTCACTCCCTTCCTCTATTTATTCATTTGTTTGTTAAGAGTTTATTATGTGCTGGACAGTGAACAAAAGAAAGTCCCTTTCTTCATGGAATTTATATTCTAATGGTCAGGGAAGATGACAAACTTTAAACAAAATAAAATATAAATATGTAATATAATATCAGACAATAATAATTCTATGGAGAAAAATTGAGTGATAGGCTATTATTTTATTTTTTTATTTATATGGAATGCTTCACGAGTTTGTGTGTCATCCTTGCGCAGGGGCCATGCTAATCTTCTCTGTATCATTCCAATTTTAGTATATGCGCTGCCAAAGCGAGCACAAGGTGTTATTTTAGATGCGGTGTCCGGCCTCTATGTGGAGATGGCATTTGAACAGAGATTGAAGAGAGGTAGTGAGCCACATGCCAGATGAGCTACACAGGTGGAATACCACAGAGAAGGAAGTAAAAAAGGGAATCAGTGCTTACCGAGTCCTTACTCTGTACCAGGCCCTGTGCAATATGGTTTCCACACTTCACCACATTCAATCCTCACCCTGCCCTGCAAGGAAGTTAGAATAATCATCTCCATTTTATGGACACTTGGCAAGGCTAGTAAATTACCCAAGGTCACCCACTGAGCAAGTGGCAGAATCAGGGCTTGAAGTCTCATCTGTCTGCTCCAAGGCCCCTGCTCTTGCCTCCTCATTCTGTAGCCTCCAGAGAGATCCATGCCATCAGTTTGTACTTGAGACCTGGAAAGGCCAGCTGGATCAGGCCTACTGGGCTTGGGCATCTGGCCAGGGTGATTCTTCCTCAGGCTCAGCATGTCCAAGTATCCACGATTCACAGACGGTCTCAATGGCTTATCAGTCAGAGGCCTGAGAAGCAGAGTGTTCTTCAGCCCTGCTGGGCTGTCCCCAGTGGGTCTGAGCCAGCTGGGCACAGAGGCCCTTTGTTTCAGAATGTCTCTTTGGCCAAGTTTTTGTGGTTAAGTCTGAGGGCTGACAGAATTAACATTCACTCACACACACACACACTCTCTCTCTCTCTCTCTCTCTCTTTCTCTCTCTCTCTCTCTCCTTGTGACTCCTGCATCATTCAGTCCCTCATTTAAATTCCAGTTTCTTTCTGCCTGATTTTTCACAACTTTTACTACAGTCATTGCTGTCACCATTAGCCCTCCCCTTATACCTATTTGCATCACTAATTTGATGATTCTCCAATTCAATCTAGCAACAGTTTTGCATATTTTAATGTGCCAGTCCCTTTGCAAGGCCTGGAATTCCCCTGAAGCCACTGGTATTATTTCCTACTGGCCATCTGACACTTGGCAGCCTGCAGCAGTGGCCATTGAATCTTTATGAAGGTAAGAGACCTGGGTTTTTGGGGGGTTTTTTTTGACAGAGTCTCACTCTGTTGCCAGGGCTAGAGTGCCATGTGTCAGCCTAGCTCACAGCAACCTCAAACTCCTGCTCAAGCAATCCTTCTGCCTCAACCTCCTGAGTAGCTGGGACTACAGGCATGCGCCACCATGCCCGGCTAATTTTTCT